ATAAAGCAACAACTTGGAAATTTAATATTTTAAGTGTTTCCAATATAGAAAATTGATCTGAACACTTCTACACAGTCTTCTTGTTTATCAATCCATGTTACTTTAAATTATTAACTAAAGGCTCATGACAAATTATAGTTTTTCTAAGGCATTTTCTAAAGAAATAACCGAGAAATCATTAAGATCTTGCAGAATTTAAGCGTATGATTATGTTAGAAGCTATCTAGTTGCTAATTAAAAGTGTTTTCTTTCGTTTTTTTTTGCTTCCGTTACATCTATATTCATCAATAGTCAATCCATTACTAATTAATAGTAAAGCATAACTTTTTCATGAATAAACAATCAAGATTTTTCGTCTTTTATAACTTTTTCTACGAATGAGATACAAGTTTCTAAGCTTTATTATTCAGAATTATTTTTTTATCTTTAGATAACTACATATTTATTATAGTCTCCATAGATTCATTTGTTATTACGACTGCTTATATACGAACGATCAGTGAAAAACGTTATTTTTCTCTCTCTGTTTTAATGTTCATTTCAAACAACGAGCACCGATCGATAAGGAAAGAGAAAAAATTCGATTCATTTGAAATGAAGATGATCTATTATTTAGTAACATGTAATTCACCTTTTGATTTAACGTTTTTAATACGGTCTATTTCTTCTTCCATATTTTTCTGAGTTAAATGAGCACAACTCCCAATTTCTTCAATTTCTTCACAATAACATAGAGTATTAGATCTCAAAAGTAAATTTCATGTTTTAAGATTTTCATACCATAGCTAAAGTACTCACTAATTAAAATGTTAGAAGTTTTTTTCCTTTTTGTCATGATCGGATATAGTTCATTGAGGCGCACGAGAAGAAGCAATCTTTCAAATGCAAAACAGTTACCTATGTATTAAAATTCTAGATTTCTCTCTTAAGATATCTGAAAATAATGTTATCGTAGTCTTCTTCATAAAATGTTTGGTTTCTGCATTTGAAATATACTTTTTCTTATGTAACTTGGCGAGCTCTACTCAACTATAAGAAAAATAGAAAAAATTCTGCTAAAGCTTTATTTGTGAATATTTAATATACGATGTAAAAATCCTGGAATACGAGTATCTTGATTTAAGCATGGCAACAGAACCCTATAATTTTATTTTCTTAGCTTACTGCTAACCTTATTAACTCAGAATAGAAACACTTCTATCACTAGTCAAAAATTCAAAAGCTAACTATTTTAATCTCTCATATGAAAATCTTTCCGACATATGATAAAATTGTGTGTTAGACATTTCCCACATCTTGTGCTTGAATCATAGCTCTCTAAGGTTAGACGTTGAATATTATTTGTTTTTTATTGTTAGCAATGAGTGATCTATAACTTATTTTATTATTCTATTGATTACTTTTCGATTTAAAGTTTCCATAAAAATTCTTGCCATCAATCATGATCTGAAGAGATTGTCAAAAAAACCTTGTTTAATTATGTTCCGAGAGATTGTTGTTAGTGAATTACAATATGACCTCAGTTGAATTGGTCTTGTTACACAATCATTCTCAACTTTTGTCGAATAACAGGATATGATAAATGATCACATGAGAAAGAGTAATGCTAGTGCATTTTGAGAGTCGATTTCGCTTCACTTTTCAGCAACAGTTTCTAGCCATCTATTTTTGTTTGTCTATATCTGCATGTATTCACACCATAGATATTCACTCATTTCGATCTGCTCTGTATATTCCCGTACGTAGATACGATTTTCATCGTCAAATCATTTAATAAATGGGACAGGCACAGCCAAAGCCCAAAGATTTTTGTTACAATCATTTACAAGAATATCGTCAAACACTTATTAATCTATTATTTATACAGGAAGTGAACTTATTGGAGGAAGAATCGATTCAGAAAATTAAAGAAAACAGCAGAAGAATGTAGATAAATATTGATTGAACAGAATATGCAACATTATAGTGAAATGAAAAATATATTATCTCAATTAACTGATGAGTGAAAGAAGATTCGTGAAGAAAATGAATTTGATGAAATCAAACGAAGTTAACAGAAGATTTCAAATCCGATTGATTCTGCACATTTAGTAAACATCAGTTACATCCATTTATTGTTTGGTAAGTGTAGTTATGACATATAGATTGGTAAATTAGTTTTGCTACAGGAACACGAAACTTTTTCAGGATACTCGATTAAAAACTCACTATAGAGAATTACTGTGTTCTTATTCATCAACATTACAAAACCATACAGTATTAGTAATCTTTTACTAGAGGAGATCATGTATTAACGGTACGATGATTTCATTCGAATTTTTCTCCATAAAGTCTTTTTGAAAAATAAATTTTACTAGTTGATTTATTATTTTGACCTAAGATTACTTATATATGTTCTAATTTTCTAGAAAATAACTCTTTATCAATCGCATAAATGTAGAATATTATATAAACATTATTAGAACTAAAAGAGCAGTTATTGCTCACATATGAATCCTCGTTTTACACATAAATACTAAGAATTACTATTGATTGAATTCGAATAAAATATGTTTCGAATATTCTTTATTACTTGTACTTTTCCGTATATCTGTTTGCTGGCAAACATTTGAAGCAAGGATTGAAATCTAATTTGATTGTATAGCTTTTCTTACAAGCAAGAGGCGTACGAAATTAGTTTTGCTACAGTTGAGTGACTGTAATGCCTACAAACTACAGCATGATAAATCAAAAAGTATGTTTCTCCTTAAGTCTAGTTTCAGTAAGATCATCAAACATTAACAGATATATCTGTAGGTCTTAGTGAGTCCCTATTAAATTATTTAGATGCCTTTGACTTGACTCTGACAGAAAAAACACATGATACGTATTCGATAGCATGAGTCGAATCATTCGTATCACTTGTTCACAACAGTCGTAATTAATTCTTTTCGAGAAACACTCATCAATACCATTAATATCTCTTCAATGCATAGCTTTTTTCCTTATTGTATAAATGGTAACGAAATCGATTTTCCAAGAGCTTGTTCGAACCTCAGTACTGTGCAAGTGTCAGTGAGGTATGCATCCAAGAGTAAACTCGCATCCCTATTCATGTCGATACTGTTAGTAATGACACACAAGCGATTTCAAATTTCTTTCTGTCATATCAATCATTAGGAACACAGTAATGATAATGTTAATGCACACGTCAGTTGCAAAATCGCCATCGATTGAAGTTTCTATTAGTATAATTTTGCTGTTTATATGAATCAAATAAAATTTTCTATTTTTTCGGAGGCAATACAGTGATAGTTATGTATTTTGATAGAGTGAGAATAATCGTTTGTCAAGTGTGTAGTTTAGATGCTTAAATATTTGAAAATTTATCAATAGTTTAAAAAAGTATGGCATATTTAATGAAACTATTTTCCTCTGTTTTAAAGAACATAACACTAATAGCAAGACTGAAAAATACGTCAAGAATTTTCTGAGCTACACGATGAACCTGATGGAATTGGTAATGAACGTTATGTTACTTTGAGTTCAGATGTTGAGAATCGTAGTATTGAATTGTTGTCGTCAAATAACAGAAACTATGTACAAATTAAAACAACAAAGTTATAGAATGCCTCGATGAAACAAAAAAAATTGTTATGATCTACCTGGAACAATGCAATGTTTATTGGAAAGCGAATCAGTTCAGCTGCTCATCGTAAGATAAAACTAAATAAATATGAAAAATTTGGTTGTATTTGTCTTCAAGATATACGAGGTAAAAATAACCAACACAGTGCTGATTTGATGTCGTCTCCAAACAATTGCAAATCATCGGTGTCTGACGAATCTCGGACGAGTACAACGTTTCATAAATCATCATCTATACTTCTACATTGAAAAACAATTTGTTCAAGACAAATCATTGAGCTTCATACAGAGGACAATTCATATCCAGTGTTCGTAGTAAGATAATTTTAAATAAGTAGGAAGAACCAAAGATTTTATTTAGCTGCTAGATAATCATGGTGTTAATCTTGGAAATGATAGCAAAAGTAAGTATATTCAGGTTATATATAGTATGTGTTATTTGTTTAGTCTTTCAGATAGTATGGCGATAGTTTCTATAATTCTGATGTCAAAAAATAACAACTGAGTAAGTATATATTTAGTTTTTGAAAAAAAAATTCAATCATTCATATAGGTTTCTGATGATATTTTCAATTAACGTAAATATATATAAGAAGTAAGATAGAAAAATAATCGAAGTCATTTTTTCTACAGCTGATGATCATCCAATTAAACATTATCTTCCACCACTTTCATTGGCAAATACAGATGACATATTTATTAAAGCAATAAGAAAGAATGAAGACTTTGAAAATGTTCCTAGAATATAAATTTGTTATCTACCATTAGGTAATATTATATTCTTTATTTTATTTTTAATGTTTAGTTCAATAATAACTTTTTTTATATTTCATTAGACAAAGTCAAACCAATTGAGTTAAATGAAGAAGTTAGTGTTGACACACAAATTGTATCAAATACTCGTCTTGCTCACTTTGAAGGTTTCAATAACGAAATGATTTATTCGTTTTGTGCTCAAACTGGATCTGATAGATCAGTAAGTTTTATTTTTTAACGGCTACTCGTTCTTTACTTGAATGTTATACCGCTGTATTATCTAATAGAGAACATCTGTCATCACCACTTTGCCTTATTATATCACTTACATGCCAACATGTTTTACAAACAGAAGATGAAGCAAGAAAAATCACATATCGAACTGCTGTGGTACCATGTAAGTTACTTCATAAACGTACAGCGAGAATATGTATTCTCGTAAAATGTCCGGGTGATTATTATTTGCACCTATATTGCATTGCTGGTGATGGTCATGATATGTTTACTGTATCGGATCATCTTCAAGACATGATGGGAAAAGTCCAAGTAAAATTATAATTCAGTGGATTGTATTCAAAGTTTTACAGGATTCCTTATTTTAGTTTCACTAAAAACAAATGAAATTTCTCGTTATAGATGAAACTAACCGGTATGTAAAAACGACACCGATGGTGTTGAACCTAATTTTGATTACGGTTTTTTTTGTTTTTCTAAAGAATATTAGATACAGAATTGGAACTTGATATACGAAAATTAGCAAGTCTTTGTTTATCATTACAAGAAGAACGAGTTCCATGGATATTTTTCGCAACATTTTCTAATCAATTACAACAATTAGCAAAACATGTCCTTTGTGAAGATCATATTTTTTTCTATGAGAGTGCAAATGTCGATGTAGCACATACAATCGAAGAAGTACCATTTACAAAGAAACAAGATCTGAACGTTGTTTGATATTTGTTGAAACACAGTGATCAATTGATTCTATAGGTGCATTACTTTTACAAAAACTTTTCATGAGTATAATATTCCATGAAAATCAAACACACTAACAACGAAAGGAAACTGGAACAATTTACAAATGGTCTTATTGATTGTGTTGTTAATTATGATTTACCGGATACAAGTGTTTTTTATATTCGTCGTATTGGTCGAACAAGTCGAATGAATTATAAGAAAAACAAGAAAAAGGAGAAATAGTTTTGAAAATTCCTTTTTTTGCATAGGTCATGCTGGTTAATTGGAGAAATCCATATGATTTTTTGATTCTGATCGATAGTCTGACAGAAAAATTGCTCTTGAACTTACACTAAAATTATGTCAAGTACATTTTGTTCTCTAAATCGAACATGAATTTTCCATTAGTTTCTTTCAATAGGATGGTCAAGCAACATCAGAATTTCTTAAAAAATATGGTGATGTGAGTACTATTGGATTTTATCATGATGACCATAGGTCGACGAATAGTAATGTAATACTATTAGTGTGTGTGTGGGATAAGGCATACACCTACACTCCGACTCACACCTACCGTCTGTTGAGTAATTAAACTAAGAAGTATTTTTAATAGATTTTAGATCGAAATTGTTGCTAAAAATCTTGAGCGCGAGGAAAGATTTCTAAGGATCTTGTGTCATGTTCAATACGTCCTTCATATTTAGCCAATAGACATTAAAGCAAGGATAAAATTTTGGATATATAGGTAGATTTTATATGCTCTTTTATATCATATTATCGAAAAGATGTACAGCAAAATTTTTCAGAGAAAATGATTTCTCGATCGAGTAATAGATTGTCTCTTAAAATAACTTTGAGAAATTTATGAAATTCTTATGAGCCATCCACAATAATCAATCGTTACCGTTCTTCATTAAAAGTATAATTCATAAACATAGTTATTGCTTTTTTATCTTTACTATCCAGAGGAGTAATCCTTTGTGGTTGTTACTCAACATTTTCTTCAATAAAAGCTTAGAAAAAAATTCTTTTGTTTGTTTTTAAAATGTGATTATTGTGCTTCAAATAAAATGATTCAGAATGGAGAAAAGAGAGAAGTAAAATAAATTTGCACTTGTACATGAGAGTCACAACAACAAAAAACATATGTATAAATCACCAGCTAGAAGTAAGAATATTTAGAGAAAATAATTATAGAAAAATGCGTTCAATAGAACACTTGATTTCCGCAAATAGTAACCTTGTTTGAAGTAGACATTATCAAACTCTATTCAATCATTAAGATAAGATTTATCTTGTTTTATATATCAACCTGGCAAAACATCATTTCTATTGAATATGAGAATAATATTTTTCTTCACTCAATCCATATATCACACTCACAAGTTAGTGTTCAAAAATTGTAAATAAAGAAAAGAAACTATTCTTTTTATAAAATTTGACAAGTATGAAACTGATGCATCATCATGAGCAGCTAGAGTCATTGAATCATCATGAAAAGGTGTTGAAAGAGAGATTAGAATTTTTTTTTCATTGAAATCAGATCTATTCGAACCATATTTTCATACTAAGATGTTCGTGAACCAAAAGTTGCATAAATTGAAGTTTGCGAACTGTGACATAGCGCTATAAAAAAAATTAAAAATTGATTAATTAATTTATTAGCAATACAGATTATTAAAAAAAACACAAACGTTGCTGGTATATTTCTATTCTGATTAGCCATACTTGTTTGACATTGGGATAAAGCTCGATTTTGCATGTTGATACTGTTATACTTATTATAAAATATTTTTCTCTTAGTCAACAATGGAATCATTTACCTCATTTGTAAATTTTCGATTCGATACTTGTTTTAGTGTAAATATGACTCTCAATTATTGATTTTACAAAATGTTAAAATTTATTAATATTAATTAATTTGAGTTCATTTTCTAATTGATTATTTAAATAAAAATAATTCATATTAATTTATTGATCAATTAGATGAATGTAGTCTTTTTTTAAATCTTTTTAATAAAATTTTATATTAATTATTCAAATATTTTTATTTATTTTAATATAAATTTCAATGATCAATATTCTTTAGTAGAAAAATTTTCAATAATAAATGGATAAATTTTTTTCTCATCCAAAAATTCAATTAAGAGTTTTATCTTGACAAATATAATAATTGACAACCACATGGATTATTATCTAAGTGAACAATTGTTTTTATAAAAAAATCTTTTATTGAATTAAACTTGAACTTAAAACAACTCTTAGTCAATTTTTTTTTTATCAAAGTAAAAATTTTTATAATTAACAGATCTATTTTAGTGAAGTTTGATGTGGATAATCTCTGGAAAGCTTTTATTTATTTAAAAAACAAACATTACGAAGAAAGTTTTAAATTTCCTTGAAGGAAGTCTGGTAAAGAACATTCTTTCATTATTGACATTCATTTGATGTTTTCTGAAGCACAGAGTAATAGGTGTTTGCATGAAAAAAAACAAGATATACTAGAACTTGACTTTGTCATATAGCATTAAGACAATTTTGTGCTCCCTTATCAATGATTTGATTTGAGGAAAAGTTTCATTTGATGAGTGTCTAGATAAAAGATGTGAAAAAGATCAGGTGAGGAAAACAAAATTATTGATTGTTTAAATTTATTCTAGTCTATTTAGTAAGAATAAGGCTACTTCACCACCGAGTTCAGTTTAGAAATGATCTTTTTTAGTGATGGTTTTCTTCTCATTCATACTGATAAATAAATATGTTAATCAAATCAAGGGGAAATAAACTGATTTACAGTGACTTCTAGCAATATAAATCAATTTGCTAACAGATAAAAACTTTTCACACATAATGATATGACTTCTTTTTAGGTAAATATTATTCTGTTGCTTTTTTTGAAATATTTGATCTTTCAATAAGATAATAAATTTGTTTTACTAAAGTAATAATCAATGTATTATTGCAAAAGGAAAATAATCTTACAATAATTTTGAATAATTTTTTTTCCGCCGAATAAATAAATTTCATTTATTTTAACACAATTAATTCGTGTATCATCTCTGGTAACTTGTGTGCCACTCTTTCTAATGACTAATCATTGATATAAAGAAGAATATTAGTATAAAAATATGTTTTTGTATTAAATAAAAATTCTTCTTTATAATCATCATGAACTTTTAAAATATCAACTGTAATAAGATAGTTATATTTAACAATTGATGAATTTTCATTATGATTTATTGATTTATAAAGTTGTTTATGTTTTTTGTGATTGATGATAAATCATAGTGGAAATGATTGAAAAATTTGAATAAAAATTTCATACTCAAAATAGAAATAATCCAACTAGAAAATAATGTGTTATCTTTTGATAATATTGCATTTCCGATGAGTGTGCCACGTCATGTTGTCCACATCTATGAAGCCACACCTGGTCAAGAGACACCAGACTGGGTTAAAAAAGACATCACATTCCTATCTATTGACGTTGTTGTTTCTGTGCGACGATGGTTTACGTCAATATTTTTCAATTACATGTACTATTGAAAATAAATTTAATAGTACTATAACTTATGAATGAAATAGAAAGTTGTACCTTACCAAAACAACAATACTACATCAATTAAAAGTTTTTGCTTTTCGTTGTAAGTATAAAGCAACTGATAAGATGTTAAATAACACGTGTTTTTTAGGTCCATTGGTGAATTGAAATGAACCTTGTATAACAGAGATACAACTCGATAAAATTCAATAGCAGACTATATTCGTTTATATGTTCAACATATATAGAAAAAATAGATTATTTGATCTTTCTCTTAGTCATTTATAAACATATTTACCAATATCTATTCAAGGTTGATTTGATCTTTTTCAGTCTAATCGATTATGACCTATTTGATTTAAATCACAAATACAACAGGTTCCATTTATGATCTTAAAAGATGTCCTTCAACAAATATACTTGATACACTTACGTTTTATTCAACAGTTCGTCGCTCATTATCGTGAACAGTATTTGTACAATTGTATAGTTTTTCATCAACTTGTTGTGCTGTGGCATATCATTCAAAACGAGATGAAATTCTTATATATGATAAAGATGAACTTATCTTATACAATGTTAATGATACTTTAGTAAGTAATTAGTTTTTTATTTTTATTGTTTTTTTAAAATAATTTAATAAATTTACAGTGAAAATGTATCACGATTGACTATAAAATATGGTTTTTCTATCAAGTATTGCTTGGTGTTCAATTCGTGATTATTTTCTTGTTTTGAGTTGCATGACTCGTGTATTATTTGATACAGATTTAGATATAAATACTACGATTAAAAAAATTCATGGTACTCAATCAAATCATCTTATTTCTTTGACTTGTATTGTACAAGATACAAGTATTTTTATTTGTTGTCATGATCCAAAGGAAATAATATGACAATATGTTTCATTAACAACATAGAATTTAATAAAAATTTGGTCAAAAGAAAACTTAGTAATAAAGATTATGCTGGTAAAATATAATAAATCATATTTTGATTTTGATTTAATTTTGATTATTACTATTTTAGATATTCAATGTGTTCGTGTTAATCTATCTGGTTCACAACTTGGTCTTGTTATTAAAAATAAAAACGATCAATTTCGTTTTGTTCTTTATCCAATGGATTTAACACATATATGTTGCAATTCTAATTATTCCTTCATTATTACGATTAAGAGAAAATCAAAGTATTAATTTTATACTTTATTTAACATCATTTATTGATGATCGTTGGTAGTTACTTACTGGCATCCCACCGACAGTCCATAGAAAAAGAGGAAAAACAGAGGAGCATTTTTTCGCTTCTGAAATGCGAACAAAGGCTGCCGCAGGGTTCAAAAGTCAATAAATTAGAGCACCATTAATCTAGATTCAACACAGACTTGAAAAACTCGAAAGATGGAAGCGATATTCAGTTCTTGACATTTGCGGTCGTGTTTTTTCTACCGAGCTCA